TATGAGCAGTTGATGGTCTGTTCCACAATCAGCTCCTGGCCTGGTTTTGGCTGAAGATATTGAGCTTTTCCACTGCCTCTTGCCACAGATGTAGTCAATCTGATTCCTGTGTGTTCCATCTGGTGAAGTCCATGTGTACAGCCTCCGTTAATACAACTTACATGAACCTTTATATATATGGAATATATATGGAAAGGATAAAGAAATTAAGTACTTCAGTTGTCAAATCAATGACTCAATACTTTGTCTTTAAAAACTACCATTATTCTTGTGTCATATGGACTATATTTAAGTCCAGTAATTTACAGTCCAATCCTAAATGCCCTGCTTAATGGCTGTCTACTACTCTGAGTCAAAAATTGATGAAGGAACACCCAATCACAATAAAAATTTAAAAACACAATTTTAAAAATAAAATTTAAGAAATTGATGAAGGATCACTATATATTCAAGTTTGCAGGAGGCGTTAGGTAAGAAGGTAGAGAGCCAAAATGGTAATGAGGGAGATGAAGCTAGAGTCGGCTTTTAGGTTGACTGGGTATAGACTTCAAAAAACGATGTTGAGTTTCATGGGTCTATATTGGAAAAAGGTAAGATTTTAAAAAATTTTCTAGGGTAAAATCTTTTTTTCTGTCTTTATTCCTACTCCATAAAGTAAAAAGCAACTGCTGTTTAAATCCAAAACCCAACCCCAAGAATAAAGAAAGAAAATCTTACATCATTCCGGTCCTTGGTCAGTCTCTCCTCTAGTTCATGGGCTAACTGCAAAAGCCACCACTGTACCTAAAAAGTAGTGTTAAGATTTTAATTTTTCGTTTAAAACTCTAGGTCTGTTATAGAACTAGTTGCTGGATTTGATCAGGTCTCCCCCAAATAAACATGTATACCAAAGATTCCCCTATAACCAACGGTCACCAGACAGTGGAACTCTTCTCAGTATTCTGACCTGCCTTAACTCAAGAGTTTCACTGTCTTTTACTGTTGGCGTACCATGAGGCATGTTCTGAGAAATAGAAGAGAGAAAAACCTGAGGCACAGTAAGTTTCTACCTACTAAAAAATTGAATTCTATTTTGAACTCTAGTCAGTTCCATTTTATTTCTTTATAGGTGGAAGTACAAGAAGCAATAAATCACAAGTTAAATAAGTCCATTTTCAATTATTACTTTCATACTTTACATTTCCAGCTAAAGGTTCCATCTAACCTATTAACCTTTCTACAGTTACTAAAACCTACCCACTAACCCTCATAAAGAAGACAGTTTTCTGCCTACCTGTTCCCGAGTCGCCAGAGCCGTTTTTCCTGGGAAGTTCTTACTACAACCAATAGTTTTAGGTAGTTGCCTGGGTTTAACTGGGTCATGTTCAATCCCTCGGCACATGGCATATAGCCAAGACCTAATAAAACCAACAAAACACATTAAGATGAAAGTAAATGGTTATTCTTATTAAAATACTTTATCTTATTCCTTTCATGAAAAAGGAAAAAGTCTGTCTGAAATTAGGTGTACTAATTTTAGGTGTACTATTAATTTTATTTAAAATTTTAGGTGAACTATTCTGACACTGAATCCCTGCCCACCCCCCACTCACCCCCATTGAATTTCAGCAATATACTGATTGGCTTCCTTTAGTCAAGTCACTATTTTTTTTTTTGCCATGAAAAAGTGACAAGCAAGACAGATCATATACCCAAGTTGTGTGTGTGTGTGTTCTCTAGACTTAAACACAAAGACAAGGAACTCTGATGGCACATTGGTTAAAGCACTCAGCTGCTAACTAAAAGGTTGGTGGTTCCATAGGAGAGAGATGTGGGCAGTCTGCTTCCGTAAAGATTTACAACCTTGGAAACCCTATGGAGCAGTTCTGTTCTGTCTTATAGAGTTGTTACGAGTCAGAATGGATTAGAAGGCAACAGGTTTGTTTGTTTTGGTAAATACAAAGATGTTAAGGGAACATCTTGTTGTTGTTGTTGTTAAGTGCCATCGAGTCGTTTCCAACTCATAGCGACCCCATGCACAGCAGAAGGAAACACTGCCCGATCCTGCGCCAGCCCCACAATCCTTGCTATACTTGAGCACATCATCGCAGCCACCGTGTCAATCCATCTCGTTGAAGGCCTCCCCCTCTTTCGTCAGCCTCCACCCTACCAAGCATGACATCCTTCTCCAGGGAAT